AACTATGTTGTCAGGGTATTATAGCTTTGTGCAGCCCCAAATGTTTGTAACGCCGCGAAATATTGGTCCTAGACCCACCTTTAAGTATACCGATCGTCATATCTCGACTAGCTGAGTCGATCTAGACATGTGTGTCCGTCCGTCCGTCCGTCCGTCTGTCCATTATAATTTGTAAACACGATACAGGCCACAGTTATGGACCAATCTTCACGAAATTTTGCATGTAGGTTGGGTTCGCGCCAATGAAGTTTTTGGAAAAGATCGGTTAATATTTAGGGGATGAAATGGACCAAATACTAAATTTTTGTCGGTTTTTCTGGTCGCTCCAGAGGCCGCAATTATGGCCCAAACACCGCGAATTTTTGCATGGAGAAGGGGATCGGGCCAGAGAATAAGCATGCATGTTTTGATAAAGATCGGTCAATATTTAGCGGGTCAAATGGACCCTGACTTTTGTGTGAAAAATGACAAAATTTGTATTCTATGGCATATATATTTACTCCTGGAGGATGTAGACCCCAGGAGTTGATAGCATATCCAAGAGGAGTGGTTGGCCTTTAAATTGATACCAAATATAGTGATGTATCTACTCAGATGTGGGAGTTACAGTCAAATATTTACAGGTGCTTACGTATTCAGATATTATTTAGTAACCCATTACCACATTAGAGGGCGAAATATCGCGCTGATGGCTTTGAAATTTTTCATGAAGTTCCAGTTATGGTCAAGAACAACGCCTACAATTTTCGGTGATGATCAGATTAAAATTTTGGGATGAAATGGACTGAAAACATAATTTTTTGTGTGTTTTCGAGTAGAGTATAATCCGAAAATCAAAGCACAACCCACCGTGAAGGTAATCTGGACAATTAAATAGAAGGATTGTACTGAATATTCGAAAAAAGTAAGGAAGAGGTGTTGTTAACCTCTAATCGGACAATAGGGGGCAAATATCACGAAATATTACTCAGACTCGGAATAAACATCCTCAGAAAGTTAGAGTTCGTGGTAGTTGTGTAGGGTATCGCATGGTCGGCCCCGTCCGACTATACTGCTCCGCTCACTCGTTTTTATTTATTCCCTTTTTATTTCAGACTGCAAATGCACTCCCGAGAAATGCGGCGACAAGTGCGACTGCCCCAAGCCATGCAAATGTATGTGTAAGGATTCGGAACATGCCAAACATGGACATGGCTCAACCTGTCATTAGAGGTGGAATTGTGCACAAGGACTTTCAATAATCATACGATAATGGGACATCATAAATCGGGAGGAGTTAAGACAGGCGAAACCCTTATATATAACGGCAATTATGTACTATATAAATATAATAAATATTAACCATGCATACGTATAACAATTTTGGAGATATTTTTGGATGGCAGATATCGATATTATTCAGTAGGTTCCAATGTTGACAGAGCTCTGTCAATCATTTTACAAAACGACTTTTATGTTCTACTGTCGAACATATGAACATGCTACAAAATTTGGAAAGATACATTGATTCCGAATGTATTAATCCGATTCAAAGGCACTTGTGTCCAAAACAAAACCTTTGTTAGGCATAGAATAAATATGGTGAATTCATTTACGTATTATTTTAGTCTAAAATGCAACACATCTTATAGACATCGTTTATTATAGCCTCTCAAAAATATTTGTAGAAAATATGGGACTTGCGAAAGCCTCTTGAAAAAATGGATTACTTTGTTTGGGTGAAGAAATGTTACAAAAAATCCATAAAATAATTGCTGCCAGCGTTTTTTTTATCCTTTGAGAAAACGAAATACCAAATTACAGATACTCAGAGTGGAAAAATTCGGCTCGGGTGGCACTCTATACCGAAATACATCGATATCGAAACATGACCGTCTGTATGTTGTAATCACACTATCTTCTAAACAAATTGAGATAAATCGCCACAATTTTGCATATAGTCGTCTTTTGTCTGCAGGTATGTAAAGTCCGAAGATGCTGTATCGGTTTACGTTTAGGCATAGCTCCCATATAAGGGTACACCCCAATTTTCGGTTGTGTGCGCTATTCAAGTGAATTCGCTGAAATTTGGTACAATGGGTTATTATTGGGTACCATATAACGCATAGGTGCCTTATTTGGCCCAAGGACGAATCCTATTGAAATTGGTTAAAATCGGTTCAGATTTAGATATAGGTTCCATATATATTTTCGTCCGATTTAATGTAAATGGTGTACCAAAGACCCTATATATATTTAGATGTGCGCGAAATTTGGCATAGCGTACTGAATAAAGTCTAGAATGATGTGTGTTAAGCTTCCTGAAAATTGGTTCAGATTTAGATATAGCTATCATATATATTTTCCGATTTTATGTAAATTGTGCACTGAAGACCTGATATTTCCGATTGGCACACAATTTTGTGAAATCTACTGATGTTAGTATAGAGTAACGTATATCAAGATATTTGAAATCGGTTTAGATCTAAATATAAACATATATTTTCGTCCGATTGACACAACAAGTTTCGTTGAAATCCCTTATACACTTTCTTCCGATTTTAGGTAAATGGTATACCAAACTCCTAATGTTTGTCCGATTGACACGAACTTTTGCACAAATTGTCAAATTGAGCCTAGAATGGCTTTTTTGCTTTTTGTTGAAATTGGTGCGGATGCATACATAGCTTCCATATACATTTTCGACCGACTTCGTGTTAATTGTGCACCAAATAATCAACGGGTGTCTGATTACCACATAGCGTGTGTCAAGTTTAAGTTATTTATTTATTTAAGTTCGTTCAATTTTATGTCATTGTTTCTACGAAAAGGAGACGTCTGTTAGGATACATATGACGAATATACCCAAAGTGGTGAAGGGTATCATATAGTCGGCCCCGTCAGACTTTACTATTTTCCTTACTGGTTTATATTAAAATACTTATCTGATTTGATCCCGTTTTGGGTTTGGTTCTAAGACCCTGTTGTAATCATATTACCTGCGGAGGATATCAAGATAAAAAACTACAACGTAAGGTTCGAAAATTAAATATATTGTCCCGCATAGCACCCATATAATGATACCTACCGATTTTCGGTATTTCGTGACGATTGGTCCATAACTATGGCCTGTATCGTGTTTACAAATTATAAAAGACAAACGGAGGAACACACATGTCAGCTAGTCGAGATATGAAGATCGGTATTTCGCGGCGTTACAAACTCTTGGGCCTGCACAAAGCTATAATACCCTGACATCATAGTTGTGTAGGGTAAAACAATCGTTCCTGTTTTATAGATACATTTTTTTACTAATATCATTGAAAAATCATTTCAAATATTTGAAATTGCCACCAGTTACAAGTCTCTGGAGCAGGTCTAGTGATCGAAATTGAGCATTTTGGTCACATTAGCAAAACAGAAGTGAATTTTTATTATCAAATAAATAAATTTAATAACATATGTGGGTTTTTGCTGTTTTATTATTATTTAAAAAATATTTAATTCATTTTACAAAACCAAAAGAATCCAAACAAACATTTATTGTCAATTCAAAACATCATTCCGAAATCCGTCATCAAATGGTCGTACTTCCCATTTCATCTCTCCTCTACATTATTCCTTGGGGGAAGTTTTGCAAGAGCAATGACAGTCCTGGTTGCAGGGACATTTATCGCAGCACTTCTGGGTAGTGCATTTGCAATCTGTAGAAAAAATAATTATTTATATTAAAATAATATTTTGAAAATTGTTTTACACCTAACTTACCATTACCACATCCTTTGCAAGGCATTTTGTTGTTGAGATATTTTTTAGTAAACGATTTTAATAAAACTTTGCTTTAACAATTGCTTGATATTATCAAACTATGATTGATAACCACAACTCCTATGGTATCATCTTATATAGGCTGTGTTTTGTGCAATTGCTTCACATATCTTCAAATGGTATCGTGTGCAAATGCATTGTTTCTTAACGTTGTGAATATTCGATAAAAAGAGTTTAACATCTTTATCGTGTGCAGTGCTTGGTATGAATTTTTTGCACACCACAGTATAAACAAATACTTAGGTTTCATTTGGAATTAATAAGCCATTCATCATATTATAACATTAATGCTGATAATCTAATTTATTTTTGAAAAATGACAATATAATTGGTATCAATTTATAGGTCAAACACTCCTCTTGGATATACTATCAACTTCTCGGTTCTATGTCCTTCAGGAGTAAATATATACGCTATAGAAGAGCTATATTCGACGTATGCCAATTTCAGAAATTTATCATATCGTTTCACTTCACCCCTTTGTACCAAAAAAGTGCATAAAACATATGAATTTCATATAAAACCGAATGAAAGAGTCCGATTTACGTGACCTAGATTAAGTGCGAAAAAAATATAGGTCCATAAATATAATCCACGATTTTAACTTATTAAACTCAGACTCCAAATTCATGGTAAAAAGTAATCTCTTATTTTAGAACTAAATATTTCTTCTCAAACTCTATTTATTCAATGATGTTCTTTTATATTTTTTTTAATAAAAATTTGCTCTAATCCCCTTATCTATGTTTACAAAAGCAATACAAAGCAAAACAACAAAAACATTAAATAAATAAATATAAGTATTTGTATAAGTGTGTAATTGAGTGTGAATCAACAATTTTAGCAACCGAGTGCGATAAAAGGTTACTCAATTCAAAAAACATTAATCAGAGACGTAAAAAAGAGATCGTTAGCTGGTGAGTGCAAAACATTCAGATAATCGAAAGTGTTGCAGTTCTTCACCACTCGCTAAACAGTGAACACCGTGTGGAAAAATAAACTAAATTCAGAACAAAAGAAAAGAAAACGCAATGAAATTTTCACAACTTCTGGCAATGCAGAATGCAAGTGCACACGTCACGCCACTTTTGGAATATATCTGGAAAATTCACAACGAATTGGGTTGACTATATAAGAGACGGCCGTTGAAGTTGTCGATATCAATCAAAGTTTGAAAATATCAAACGCAAGTTACAAAAACATAAAAGTTTTCTTTTTCTAAAAAGTGAATTTCTATCAACAACAACAAAATGCCTTGCAAAGGATGCGGTAATGGTAAGATACAAGTGGGAAAATAAATTATGAAGAGTGAGTGGTGTAATGAAGTATTTTTTCCATAGGTTGCAAATGCACTGCTCAAAAGTGCGGCGATAGTTGTCCCTGTGATCAACACTGCCATTGCCCATGCAAAACTGGTTCCAAGGATGATTGCTGTAAGAAGTGATTGAGTATTGCGTGGCTTCAAAATGAATTTTGTATTGATTGAATGGTGATTTGGAAATAATAAATTTTGTATGACATAAAATATGTGGAAAAAAATAATTTGAATTATTTTTTTTATTGAAAAGTCGGGGTAATTGAAATCATTATTTAACATGAACAAGTAATAAATAATTCTGAATAAATCATGTAAGGAAATCCCAATGAGCTTTTAGGATATAGTAAGGACAGACATTTACAAAATGTAATGTTAATCCGCCAAATAACGCCATTGGTGGAACTTTTATATTAAATTGACCGAAAATATATGTATATGTGTGGGGACTATATCAGAACGGACATATGGTAAAATATAAATAAATATAAAAAAAAATATAAAAAATAAATATAAAAAAAAATGTTCTCCACATGGACCTCTATTTGGGGAATATTAACATTAAGGTTAACATAAATATTTGTATCATATCTTTTACTCATAAACTAATTTTCAAGAATGTCAAATTAATAATAGTGCAGTTATTCCGGCAATGTTTATCTATGTTTACAAACAGAGAGCAAATTCTACAACAGTTCTCCTAAATTCTCGTAGACTCAAAAGATAACATTAACAAGAGAGCGTAACTTATACACGGTTTTCATAAGGAGCATTGCAGATTTAATATCCATCCATAGTATGGAGGGTATATTAATTTTGTCTTTCCGTTTGTAACTCATCGAAATATTCATTTCCGATTCTATAAAGTATATATATTCTGTATCAGCGGGGGGGTTTAATCGTATTTTCCTCCGAATTGGCAGTAATTTTGTATCTTGAGTTCGTAATAGGGTGCCCCCAATTTTCGGTATGTCGGGGTTCTTGAGCGCGTTTTTCAACCAAATTCGCTGCAATTTGGTATTTGGTAGTCGTATATGATAACAAATATCCCTACCAAAAATTATTATTATTCACCCTCTTTTTGGGGTAGTCCCCATATAACCCCCTTTTTAAACCCTGTAATCACTCCAGCCTCTAAACGAATTGAGATAGATCGTCAAAATTTTGCATAGAGTCGTCTTTTGTCTGCAGGCAGGTCAAGTTCGAAGATGGGCTTTATCGGGCCACGTTTAGGCATAGCTCCCATATAAGGGTACCCCAAAATGTCGGTATTTTGGGGTTCTTGGGCGTGTTTTCAACCGAATTCGTTGAAATTTGGTATATTGGGTTCTTATTGGGTAACAAATATCTCCACTAAAAATTATATATGTCGGTATTTTTGTACCACCAAATGTCGGTATTTTTAGTTTCTTGAGCGCGCTTTTCCCTATATTTTCATTTGTATTACTTGTTAGTATATCTATGTTGGAGGGTATTCAAAGTTCGGCCCGGCCGAACTTAACGCTTTTCCACTTGTTTAGATAAAAATAGTTACCTGATTTGTTCCGCGTTTTGGGTTTGGTTCTAAGACTATGTTGTAATCACTTCACCTGCGGAGGATATCGAGATAAATTACAAAGAAAGTAAGTTTCAATAATGAACCATAGCCCGCATTTAGGCCTAACCCCTGTGTGGGATGTTCCAGAAGGAGTGGACCAATATTCCCATCTTCGAACTTGAACTAAGTTTGGAAGAAATGATAAGAAACGGATTTGGTTCAAAGAAATATGGGGTCTAGAACCAATATTTCGATGAGGCACATTTTCACCTTATACACCCTTTTTTTCTGAAATTTGTATTATGGTTTACATAATCGGTTTCTAGAAAAGTATAGGTCCACTTTTTGGTATGTTCCCTATTTTTCATTTCTAGTACCGGTCAGTATATCTATGGTGGAGGGTATCCAAAGTTCGGCCCGCCGAACTTAACGCTTTTTCACTTGTTTTTTAACATAGTTTGTGGTTAAAAATAGGCGATTTTCCAATTTTTTTTTAAGTTCGTCCATTTTGTTGATTCTTGTGCGAAGTCAATAATCCTACTTCATACGAGAGCCAGACATGTAGTCTTTCTAACACCGTTGATATTTTCCGATTTCGATGTTCCAGTGAGTAGTTATTCGATACCTTACAAAATTAACTTGGACATGAAATGACTAATATTTTGAGAAACACACACACGCTAATTCGGTCTATTCGATATGGACTCATTTATAAGAAATGCTCACATGCAGTTGTCGACTTTTCCTAAGGATTTTTATGCCAATATTGTCATGACTCCATAGAAAAGTGTTTGGTTCTTATTGCTTTCTAAAGAAAATGTTAATAAACAATCACTGGTGGTTCAAATTGTAGCTAGACCAACCTGCCTTCTTCTGACAAGTTTTAAAGTACAGAACTGTAATGTTAGAGCTGAAGCCGAGGTTTAAAACTCCGGAATTTTTGGATTTATTGATCTGTCGTTGCAAACCTTTCATGATATTGACCTCCAAAGTTTATTTACGTGGATTGTGTGCCTACTTTAATGTAAACCAGTAAGGAAAGAAGTAAAGTCGGACTGGGCCTACTATATGATACCCTTCACCACTTTGGGTATATTCTACATATGTATTCTTACAATTGCATGTCAATGTTCCCTCGAAGGAACGTACTCATATCTTTCTGCAACCTATAATAAATTTAATTTCATTCGGGTAGATTTAGACCATGGGACACTTTGGTAAACCATTTCCATTAAATTGGTCGAAAATATATATGGGAGCTATATCGAAAGATATATAGGTACTTTGGTGCACCATTTTCCGTAAATCGGACGAAAATATATATGGAAGCTATATCTAAATCTGAACCGATTTTTCTCAATTTCTATAGGCCAAATATGGTTCCTATACCAATTTTCATCCAATTTGGATCATAAATGCGACCTGTACTTTGTTTATAATTTAACATGGCCAGGCAGATGGACGGACATGCATAAATCGACATAAAAAGTGATTCTATGCATATTCTCAAAAGGAACCATGTGTCATCTCGTTTCCTTTTGCCTGTTATGCACAAAGACATAATATACTGTACCACAGAGTGGTGAAGGGTATAAAAAGGGTGCTACAGCTTTTTTCAATATAACAGTCACAACTTTTAGGTAATATTAATTTTGAGAGGTTTGTGTAGGGTACCAAATGTCAACATAGTTTATATTATCTTATCTTATTTTAGAGAAGTTTATCGTAGAATGCTTTGTTTATATTAATTGCCGGCTTTCCTAACTCAACAATAATTCTTATCAATGTTTACTAACGGCAACAAAACTGCAACAACAATATGAGTGAGAATCAACAGTGTTATCAATCGAGTTGAATAAAATTGGAGACGCAAAAAGCAGATTGTTCGCTAGAGAATGCAAAGAATTCCACACGGCGTTGCAGTTCCACAATATCCGCTAAAGAGTGCACACGATTAAGAAGTTCAGAAAAAAACTAAGAAAATAAAAATTTCAAAATTATTTCAAGGAAAATGCAAGTGCACCCGACACCATTGGAGTACATCTGGAAAATCCACAACGCTGCAATAGGTTGAGTATAAAAGAGACAGCCATTGAAGTTGTGGATATTAATCAAAGTTTGAAAATATCAAACAAAGTTTTTCTCTCTACACAAAAAGTGAAATTATATTAACAACAACAACAAAATGCCTTGCAAAGGATGTGGTAATGGTAAGTTACAAATGGGAAAATATATTTAAAGGAGGACGATTTTTATAACAATAAAATCTATCTTCCATAGGTTGCAAATGCACTGCCCAAAAGTGCGGCGACAGTTGTCCCTGTGACCAGCACTGTCATTGCCCCTGCAAATCGGGTTCCAAGGATGAATGCTGCAAGTGAATAAATGGACTACTTTTGACTGGACCAACAACAAGTGTTATCTTTTAAATGATTTGTTTCTTAATTTACATTTAATTTGAAAATTTTGAAATAATACAATTTTAATGTAAATGTGCACGTATTTGTTTTTGTAATTTTCTTGTCATATAAATAAAATTCAGTTTTCTTCATTACATCTCCCCTTTTTGTTATTATTGTTTCACATTTTTGTACTCTTTGATATGTCCACTTTTCAATTATTTAAGACCATAATATCCTGTAATATCCTTTTTAGGCAACTTTATGAAGTTTTACGTTATGTTCTCCTTTGTTGCTATTTCATCGTTTTCTCTGTTGGAAATTTATGTCTAATACCCTCTACGTTTTTTACTGGGTGTTGTCCTGTTTCCTCATTTTCGTATATACACAAACATTTACATACTTTTGCTTGCTGTTAAATATGGATGGGGACAAGAAGCATAAGGTCGAAGGATTTTTTTCTCAGAGTTCCATGGTAAATTGAGGAGTACATGTTGGAGCCTACGAAGTGCTACTGCAGTTGATATACCAAACATTAACATCAACAAAACTCTTCTATAAGCCTTAATGTTGGCAAAAAGATGGGATGCAACGAAAAAAATGGAAGATGATGTGGTAGTTGATGGACAGATGCGTAGGGAAGGGTTCTTTAAAAATATTGGTGTGGATTTTTTGAAGAATATTTTTCAGGGTTAAACAAGGTGTGGATTTTTTAAATAATATTTTTAGGGACCATATACAAGGCGTGGATTTGTATACCCTTCATCACACTGTGGTACAGGGTATTATGTCTTTGTGCATATGTTTGTAACAGGCAAAAGGAAACAAGATAGACACATGGTTCCTTTTGAGTATATGCATAGAATCACTTAAGTCGATTTATGCATGTCCGTCCGTCTGTCTGTACAAGTTAAATTGTAAACAAAGTACAGGTCGCATTTATGATCCGAATTGGATGAAATTTATCATAGGTAATTTATTTGGCCCAAGGACGAACCCTATTGAAATTGGCAAAAATCGGTTCAGATTTAGATATATTTCCCATATATATTTTCGTCCGATTTAATGTAAATGGTGTACCAAATTCCCTAAATATCTTTCGATTTGCACGAAATTTGGTACATCGTACTAAATTAGGTCTAGAATGATGTGTGTTAAGTTTCCTGGAAATCGGTCCAGATTTAGATATATTTCCCATATATATTTTCGTCCGATTTAATGTCAATGGTGTACCAAAGCCCCTATATATCTTTGGATTTGCACGAAATTTGGCATAGCGTAATGGATTAGTTGTAGAATGAAGTGAGTTAAGTTTCCTGAAAATCGGTCCAGATTTAGATACTTACTTACTTAGCTGGTTTGTTACAGAACAGTTGTTCCATAAGCCGAGCTTATAAAAGAATTCCAAGCGCGTCGGTCTTGTGCGCAAATCCACCAATTTGAAAGACCACGTTCCAAGATGTTGTTTTCTACTTAGTCTTTCCATAATTCGTGGCCTTCCCCTTCTACGGGAATCATCAGTAGGCTCGTTTTTTTATGCCTTTTGAGCTGGGGCACCGTAGTCGCTGCAGCTCAATTCAACTGACTATGTCGATGTCCGCGTATAAATTGTAAAGCTCGTGGTTCATTCGACGCCGATATTCACCGTCGACGCAGATCGGCCCGTAGATCTTTCGGAGAATTTTTCTTTCAAACACCCCAAGAGTTGCCTCGTCTGCTTGCGCAAGTACCCATGCTTCTGATCCGTATAATAGCACGGGTAGTATCAGCATCTTGTAAAGTGTGAGTTTGGTCTGGCGGGAGGGGGCCTTGTTTATAAACTGCTTACTTAGACCATAGTAGCATATGTTTGACATCACAATCCTTCTCCGAATTTCAAAACTGATGTCATTCGTTTTGTTTATGGCGGTATCAAGGTATATAAAATATTTGACTACCTCGAAGCTGTCGTTCTCAAGTTCCACAGTTGGTCCGAGTCTACTGGACGTCTTGCGTGTTGATACCATCAGCTTGGTCTTCTCGCCGTTTACTGCCAGACCCACTTTGGCAGACTCCTTCTCAATTTGTTCAAAGGCTGCGGCTGTTACCGCACGCAATGTTCGACCCATTATGTCGATGTCATCGGCGTAGGTGAGTAACATGTGTTGTTTGGTGTACAGAGTGCCATTTCTGTTCACCTTTGCGACTCGTAAGGTCATCCAGCAGGATGTTAAAAAGATCACAGGACAAACTGTCACCTTGTCTGAATCCTCGTTCGGTATTGAAGGGCTCCAATAGGTCCTTCCTATTTTAACTGCTGACTTTGTGCCACTTAAAGTTATCCTCCATAGCCGTATTAATTTTGCAGGAATGCCGAACGTAGTCATGGCTTTAAACACCTCTGAACGGATAGGGCTGTCGAATGCGGCTTTATAGTCGACAAATAGGTGGTATGTTGCGATGTGTTTTTCGTGAGCCTTTTCCAGGATTTGGCGCAGAGTGAAAATCTGGTCAATGGTGGATTTGCCAGGTCTGAAGCCGCATTGGTATGGTCCAATGATGTCATTGACCATTGGCTTCAATCGTTCACACAGCACACTGGATAGCATTTTATATGCGATGGAAAGGAGACGTATTCCTCTATAGGTGGCACATATCGTTTCTTCTCTTTTTTTGTGCACGGGACATAGGATGCTGAGGTTCCAATCATTGGGCATGCATTCATCTAGCCAAATTGTACTAATCAGCTGGTGCATGATCGTGATCAGCATCTGGCCACAAGTCTTGAATAGTTCGGCTGGTAACCCATCGGCTCCTGCTGCTTTGTTGTTTTTGAGCCGATTAATTGCTTTTATGACCTCATCTTGGCTAGGTGGTATACACTCTATACTGTCATCTATTATTGGTTCTGTGGTATCCTCTTCACCGCTACTATTTGATACCAGAAGTTTTTCAAAATGCTTCTTCCAGATCCTCAACACGCTGTCTGTATCTGTCACCAGGTTTCCTTCTTCATCTCTACAGAAGGATGTGCCTGTACCAAAGCCTTCGGTTTGGTGTTTTACTCGTTGGTAAAATTTCCGGACTTCATTCTGACTCCTGTACATCTTGATTTGCTTACGCTCACGTTTTTCTTGTTCTTTCTTTTTTTCTGAAAACTCGTTTCTCCTCTCTCCTTTTCTCCCCATAATTCTCCATCACGTTACGTGTTGCTACTGTCGGCAGGGTTGCCCAATACGCTGCGTTTTCAGTAACATTACGACACTCCTAATCGTACCATAGATTTCTTGATGGTGGTTTTTGGTACCCAAGTGTTGCTTTTGCTGCAGTTTGTAGGGAGTGGGCAATTCTTTGCCATTGTGCTTCTATACTATTATCGGGACATGAAGAGCTTTTTTGAAGCAGATGGGTAAGTTGAGCGGAGTAGGCCTCGGCTACCTGTTGTGTTTGCAGCTTTTCGACGTCGAGTTTGCGTGTTGTGTTAGGTCGCACCTTTGCTGCTACATTAAGACTGGTGCGTACCTTGGCTGCCACAAGGTAATGGTCCGAATTGATATTCGCTCCTCGGATCGATGGGACGTCTAAAAGACTAGATGAATGCCTTCCGTCTATCACAACATGATAAATTTGATTTCTCGTTGCTTGATCAAGAGAGATCCAGGTGACCTTGTGTATATCGAGATGCTTGAATCTGGTGCTGCTAACTACCATGTTCTTTTGAGGAGGCGTGGATTTTTTAAATAATATTTTCTGAGGACCCTATACAAGGAGTGGATTTTTTAAATAATATTTTCTGAGGACCCTATACAAGGCGTGGATTTTTTAAAGAACATTTTCTGAGGATCCTATACAAGGCGTGGATTTTTTAAAGAATATTTTTTGAGGGCCCTATACAAGGCGTGGATTTTTTTAAAGAATATTTTTTGAGGACCCTATACAAGGCGTGGATTTTTTTAAAGAATATTTTTTGAGGACCCTGTACAAGGCGTGGATTTTTTAAAGAATATTTTTTTGAGGACCCTGTACAAGGCGTGGATTTTTTAAAAAAATATTTTTTGAGGACCCTGTACAAGGCGTGGATTTTTTAAAGAATATTTTTTTGAGGACCCTGTACAAGGCGTGGATTTTTTAAAGAATATTTTTTTGAGGACCCTGTACAAGGCTTGGATTTTTTAAAGAATATTTTTTTGAGGACCCTGTACAAGGCGTGGATTTTTTAAAGAATATTTTTTTGAGGACCCTGTACAAGGCGTGGATTTTTTAAAGAATATTTTTTTGAGGACCCTGTACAAGGCGTGGATTTTTTAAAGAATATTTTTTTGAGGACCCTGTACAAGGCGTGGATTTTTTAAAGAATATTTTTTTGAGGGTTTGTATTTTTTCACTGATCCTACCACCCTGTTGTGTAAGAGTCACATATATGTAATAAAAATAGTTTCCTATTGATTTATTTACGAGCCCATCTTGAAATGTGTCCTGACCAAAGGAGACGAAAAATGAACAGGAATATAAAACGAAACCAAAAATGAAAAAACACGTCCTGGTAATAGCCATGCTGGTGGTGCTGTTGACACAGTTGCCCCCCATTGCTGTTTTTGAAAAGTATTTCGAAATAAAACTGCAAATTTATATTTGCCGGAGGAACTCATTGGCATCTCCGCAACCTCTTTGAACCAATACCCATACAGAAACAAACACACACACATACAAAATACCATTGGATTCCTTTTTTCCAATTCATTGCATACTTTTTAAGCTGATGGACTTTAGTAATGATGTTGATGCTGTCCTGCTGCTGCATGATGTAGGTTCGAAGTATTCTAGGAAGGACTCTACCGGCCTCTTGCCATTTGTTTTTTTTTGTTTTCTTGTTCTTCTTCGGCTTCTCAATTTTGCTTTAGTCATTTATGCGTCGTTTATCCTCATCATTTTTAGTTCCATGGGTAATGGGTGTTGGTGTTGCCATTCTGCAGTCAGTCACTCAGCCAGTTAGTCTATC